TGTATTATTTTTTAAAGAACAAAAAAATGTATTTCACGCCAATCAGACATTCAACAAAATACGTATACATGACATTAAGTCCAAATCACGGCATCCGTGATCGAATGAAACTCGATGCGAATCGAATAAAATAAAATGACAGATGTTTTCTCCTAAATATATTTTAAATTGAAAAAGCGAGCTCGCTATCAAATGCCGTTATCTCATTCAGATTATCTGAAAAAGATTTTCGATTAGAAGTTGATTCTATTACGGATGCTGTAATTCTGGCCCTGTATTAATTTAGAAAGGGGCTCAAATAATTACACCTGTATGTAACTCCACTTCAAAATTTTTTGATTAAAATTTGCAGTCTCTCACAAAAAACGTATTGCAAGCGGAAAATATTTACATAAACAGCTGATAGAAATGCAATTTCATTTTTAAATTGGTTGTTATGGTCAGAGTTAATTTCTAATTTAGGTGTGTTCGATGGCAAAATGTGCATGCACCGCGTTCATTTAAATCTCTGTGCTTTCTTTCCGGAAAATATCGATAGTTTTTAGCCTTTATTGGTAAAAATGGTCGAAAATAAAATACAGCAAAAAAGTTGGTAGATCTACCAATAAAGGGGTGAAGTCCGTGCACTGTATGTACACGCTTTGAGTCGATAACAAAGAGTATTAAAACAAAACTAAGCAGTCGTAAGAGAGAAAGAGCAAACGAAAAAAAATTGCTTGATTTGCTTGACTCAGTTGATATTGGGCCATCAAGCCGAACGGACAAGCCGATTGTGTGTGATTGAAGTTTTATTTCGCTGCAGCAGCGATTCACGGTATTTTTGTTGTTGTTTTTCTACCTTTCTTCGCGAATCCGTTTCAAGCAACAAAATGTCGAACGCCCGCCAACATGCACAAACGATAGGCAAACGCGCTTTCTGGACTGAATTTTTTGCCTTATACGAAAGTTTGCCATCTTTGTGGGATCTTAATGACCCATCGTACAAAGATAGACAAAGTAAGGCACATGGCTATGAGATGTTGGTTATGAAAATGCGCGAAATTGATCCGGATGCATGTCGAGAAGATGTGCTCCGCAAAATAAACATTTTTCGTACCAATTATCGACGGGAATGTGCACGGATCAAGACGAGCTATCGGATGGGCAAACGATATACAACTTCACTTTGGTACTTTCACATGCTCAATTTCCTGCAGACACAAGAGTTTCGCAAGGATCGAAAACGTTTGCCAAATGAGGAAAAGAAAATTTTGGTATGTTTAAAGCTTAAAATTTAGCAAGTGTAATGGAATCTAGCTCTCACGAAGAATCACAAGAAATATTTTTTTATTGTTTGTTAGCCGTTTAAATTTTCTTGAAGAAATAAATATATGTACAGCCCCAAGAGCAATTTCGCGATTCAATACGGGAATCATAGAGCATTTTTTCATGAGAGCTGCTATCACGACTTGCAAGAAATTTTAATTGAACATTTATTTCAAACATCAAGTAATTCAATCATTTTATTGGTATNGCCAAATTAGCAAATATGAATGCATATCAGACAATGGAACTGAGTCAGAAGAACATTTAGAAGCAGTCCAGTACGCAGACGAGAATTCATTTCAACAACAATTCCAAAATCAATTTCATACATTATCGTTTGCAAGCCAAAATCAGCAGAACATAAAATCTACAATAGAAGGAGAATCGGATGCCGAGACTTTCCACGAGATTATCAATACCGACGATTCATCTCAGCCGCATGACGATGCCCTAGAAGAGCTGGAACTAGTAGAACATAGTTTATGCAGCAAGGATGTACTTTCAACATGCAGAGAATCTACGCCACCGGAATTTTCAGAGCAGCCAATAAAGATAACGACAAGAAAAATTACGAAAACACCATCAAAAGTAAAGTCAGACGCAAAACCACGCCATGAACGACAATCTCGGTCCAGCCGTCCTATAAGTGAAGCCTCAGAGATATTAGCCAAGTCGTGGGCCATACAGTACGAAGAAATGTCTCACGAACAGCGGATATATGCGCGAAAAGCGATTTCTGAAATTCTTTTTGAAGGCTGCCTTGGAAACTTGGGTCGTCGTAGAATTGTTCAACAGAAAGCAAATGCGCCAGAAGCTGTGGTTTCATCGCAATACGAGCAGGCTCAAATAATGGAGGAGAATGCAGTTACCGAAAATGTAACCGAGGAAACTTTATTGCATATGGACGATGACAGTCATACTTACGTTTACGGCGGTGGCAGGGGCCCCGTGCAGATCCAAGAATATATTTAATTATCTTTGTATTTCACCGAAGTATTCTAAGATTGCCACAAATATTAAAGAATGTTTGTGAATCGCATTGCTTGCTTGCTTGCATTTCAAAAATCGTCAATTTCCACTAATTTCACCTAATCCGGCTGCTGTTCTTTTTTCATTGTGCCAATGTTTTTTTTTAAGAAATGTCACACTTTGACATTTGAATACTTGCTCTATGGATGTGTTTATTTAGCTCTGTGAAGCTAACAACCGAGCTGTGTTTGTTGTTTGCGTTTGTTTTACAATTATCAATTTCTTTGTAATAAAAGCATTGTCTCCAAAGTAACGAGTTGTCGCTTCTTATACATTTACGTTCTTTGGTTAAAGATAAAATCATCTTATTCTAGTGATAAAACGGTAAGTATCTCCATATCTAGAATATGATGAATTTTTTGAATTGGATAATGAAAACGTATTGCAAAAATCTTTTTGTCAAGTTTGTCCCACATATCTATGTACCAAAAACAACAAAGTTATTTTGTTATGCAGTTGTGATGAGAATGCTAATAAATCCTACAAATATTTTATTAAAATAAGTTTAATGCACACTCAATTTTTTTTTTGTGTTAATGAGAGATCTAATTTGTTCTTAAATTAGTTAAAAAGAGTTTTTTATATAGCAATTTTTCAAAAATTGTTTAATTTTTCCCGTTAATCATGGCTACGTTTCGCAAGTTCACCATGACAGCCTTTTCAAAATATATATATATACCACGCAGGGTTGCCACTAGAATAATTTGTTTCTGACCAAAGCCAATGACAACCGTCCAAATGAAGAATACAAGTGTTTTTTTTTTTTTAATTAATTTGAAAATTAAACATTTTTTTCAAGGGCTAAAAGTCTCATAAGTAAAAATTCACAATTTATAGTCCTTACAGTAACTGTAATAATAATTAACGTGTGTAAACTTCGTTAAGCTGGTGCGCGGCTACTTAGTTAATTTGTATAGCCATGTGTCCAAAACTTCGACTTTGATACACTTTTTTCGTTCCACATAAATCATTTAATGCACCCTTTACTCTAATAGGGGATTTCCTTAAACTCGTAAAGTCTTAAACCGTGTAAAACTCTTAAGTTTACGAGGCTTTTATGGGAAAGGCCCTTTTGTGAAAAGGTGTAAATAGGTGCGTAAGGTGACTGTTTGAAAGATCAACCAGGATTTTGTGAAGCAATTTTTGTTTCGTACTATTTTCATAACATCCCGCCATCTTGTCTCTATCACTCTTGGCTAAAATACAATTAAAATTGTCGAGAATTAGCAGAAAACCTAAGTCAATACAGTTAGTGCATGAAATTCGTTCATTTTATTCGCGTATTATTTTTTTCATTTATTTTCATTGTTTTATCATACATTTTAGTATAAAAATTTCGGCCCCTCCGCAACACTGAAATTTACGAGATTGTTTGCGCATCAAATATGCCTCGTAAATTTAAGAGGGGTTCGTAAATAGAGCACCATACAAATTTTGAAAGTTCTTTTACGAGGCTTGTAAATTTACGAGCTTTAGAGGTTTGCGAGGCTTTTACAAGTTTAAGGTTAAGACCCCTTAAGTTGCCACGGGCACTGTCAATTAAGTTGTTCGATTAATTTCGAGCATTGTCCTGTGTTATTCGCTTTGACAGTTCATCGATGTTTTTTCCATAATTTTCTCTCTTTCTCTCTGTTTGCTTCTATTTTTCTACGGTCTTGCTTTAACAGCTGAGTTTTTGGAAATTTCCCAAAAAAGGGATATCTGGCAACACTTTTGCTCATCTGACACGCCCTTTAAATTCATTTTAGGATGCCAGTGAAAAATACATACATGTCTTTCTTATCTATGCATCGAAATGTACATCGATATTTTTTGATGCATCGATTTGCATAAGATTTTTCAGATAAAGTTTCACAACAAAATATATTATTAGCAAAATTGTACAAAGTTAGAGATGAATTACCGCAACTAAGCTAATTATGTTGCTAACGGAACTTTTTGGAGCCATGTAAATTTTTCGGTCAAAGTCACTTCTCTTTTTTATATAATTAAAAAGCTGGAATGATGGTTCAATATAGTACAGATGTCAGTTAAAAAAAAAACATCGATGCATCGATACATCGACTATTTATACATCGAGTGGAAAAATTTCGATGTATCGCAGCAAAACATCGATATTTTCGATGCATCGATGTTTACCGACATCCCTAATTCGTTTATCTGCCGATGGTTTTGTTTATTGCCGGCGTTTATACTACGTGAATAAACTAATTTCCTCTTTTCAATCTTATATCTGCATATACATTTGAATGAAATGGTTAATACATATTGAAGTTCGCTAGTTTTGAGACAAATTACTGGAAGGTAAAAAAATGTCACTAAACAAGGATCCGAAAAAGGATCCACAATTGTTGTCGCTGATAGATGCAGTGCGAAGCAATGAATATTTATATGATTTTCGACAAGCCTTATACAAAGATGAAAATTTAAAACGTAGAACATGGGAAATCGTGGCATTCGAGTGCGATTATAAGGATGGTAAGTTGGTTTTTCTTGTCAATACCATGAATTTCAAAAGCATTCCTTGCAGGAGCGGAAGCTAAACAAGCTTGGAACGGTCTATATGCTTCTTTTATGAAGTTCTATCGCAAAGAAGTACTACGATTTGTACGTACCCATTATGAAGAGAATGAGATTTCACTACCACAGNGAATTTAAAACGTAGAACATGGGAAATCGTGGCATTCGAGTGTGATTATAAGGATGGTAAGTTGGTTTTTCTTGTCAATACCATGAATTTCAAAAACATTCCTTGCAGGAGCGGAAGCTAAACAAGCTTGGAACGGTCTATATGCTTCTTTTATGAAGTTCTATCGCAAAGAAGTATTACGATTTGTACGTACCCATTATGAAGAGAATGAGATTTCACTACCACAGGAGCAAACTACTGATGCCACCAGCAAATGGAATTACTACAGCGACATGCATTTTATTGCGCCATTTAGAGATAAAAATAGCGACCCCGAATTGGAAAGACTTATTGAATTGGCGAAACCAATCGTTCTACGCAAAAATGAAAGGAAAATATCATCTAAAGAGCACTCAACGGCAATAACAATTGCGGCTGTCAGCTCATCTGCTGCGACACAGACGCCTGCCGAAAATGTGTTAATGGATATTCCGGCAATCAATGAAGAAAATATGACTGAAAAAGAAAAGTGCTTGCGTAGTTTTTTTGATGCTATATATCGTGCAACGCTTTCTTTACCACTTGGGTTACAAAACCTGGTTAAACGAAACACGTTAGAAGCACTGAACAAGGCAGAAATTTTAGCTGATGCTGAAATAGAAGGAGCACCGATGGAAGAAGAGGAACTGGAAACATAAACATACGCTTCGTTATATTTATACAAAACCATTAGTGCATAATGCCGGCCAGCATTTTCAATATTTTCTATTGCGGAATTTATTAATTGAATACGACATTTCTGTGAAAATCACGACGATGATATCGCTATTTTTTCGAATTTTTATTCGCTCTCGGGAAGAACTATTCCCCCAAGACGTCACGTCTTTATGATACGAAAGCTATACAGCAATTAGGGACTATTTCGATAAGAATGACAGTAACTTATGCGACAAAGTGCGGAATATCAAAGAAGATTCTTCGGTTGGTTAAATTTTTGATAAAACGCAATAGGAAATTCGGGATGCCTCTGAGTTTGCAACCACAGCCGCAGAGTCGCTTATGCCATTTTCATCCTGTTTCAGCTTAGATTACTAGCTCTAACGCACCTATGTACAGATGTATATTATTAATCGAATAACGCATCTGTTTAAAATTTAAACGTATTTTTTTTGTTTGTTATTCGAATATGATGCACGTTATGCACGTTAAATGAAAAATAAAAATAAAAAATTTAGAAAATAAATACACTGCCGATACAAAGTATTGGCACAGTAAATTTTTCACAATATATGCAACAATTTTTATTCTAATATTTTTCCGCCAATATTGTACAAAAATTTGGTTCATTCTACAACAAAAAACATAAAAACACTCCTTAAAATTCTAGAAAATCTGATTAAAAAGTTGAAAATTTGCTGAATTTTCTCGAGTTTTGCAAAAGTTTAGGAATTATATTTTTCTTTTTTTTTGTTGTGGAATGAA